TATTAAAGATTAAAATAAATAAAATAACAATAAAAAATCTTCAGTCTCGGTTAAGAGTGAGACAAACACCTTGAAGAACCCAGTGGCTGATATCCTCTGTGGTGGCCAAATCAGCTTCGAAGACGAGTCCAACACCCATGGCATTACGACGTAGCGATGTAGTATACACAGGTGAACGGAATGTATTCTAAATTATGGTGAAAAATTTACGCAAAAATAGCAATAAGAACAAGTTAGTTAGTTCAATAAGGTCAGAAATTAACAGGAGAGCAAATGTGTAAAAATATCGCAAAAAGTTTCAAGAAAGTAAGGTAACAAGAAAAATAAACAAATTCACGGATAAGAATTGCGAATAGTATAACGGTTCTAGGGATATCCATATAACTAGTGAGGGGAAGTTTTATGATTTGTGTTACTATGATGAATGTGATGCAAGATACCTTTAGTTGGTGGTCTACTATAGACCTAAAATGCGACTACACTTACCTGTAGCTTCAGGCGATGTACCTCGATCGGTACCACTGACAAGATCGGCAAATCTTCCACTAAAATTTTGGGATGTGAACGTGCCAATTGCATAATTTCCATGTTCCAACGTGCACCCTCCAGAAAGAGACCTTGAATATAACAGCCCTACATACACATGCGACCATCCGACGCATTGTTGTAATTGTAGCAGTCGGTTTATGCGAATGTGGTTTGAGCCATTGATGTCGTGGTGAATGCGGTGACGCCGGCATTTAGCGCAAAGCAGTTCAAAAAGCGAAGCGACGCCGAAAAAAGAAAAAAATGTCAATTCGTTGAAAAGTAAATAAAAGTATGTAATAAGCACGTGTGTGTTGGATCGGTTGGGTCAGCGCATTTGAAATACAAACAGAATTTTTAATTGCGAAATTAGTGGCGTTCAGGTGTCAGTGAGCTTTGCTGTATATGTGTGCATGCGCGATATGGACATCTGTGAAGTTTACACCAGGGTTGGTTGGCCTGCTGCGGTCACAGAGACTTCTCTTACAAACATGCGACGATACATTCACGGGTAACGACAGTTATTCAATTTTTTTTTTTTTAAGGTTGATTTTTGCCTTTTGCCGGCATACTTACCGTTGGGGGACGTTCTTCGACATCATCCGGATCCAAATAGCTGGTAACACAGGTATACAGAGTAGATCTGTCTAGCGGCCAACCATTTTTGCGACATGCCATCTGTGGTGGGTGTGTAAAAAAACGAATAAATGAACATGAATGTGGCACAGAGGGAACATTACGTAAATTACATAATCTCTTGTGGCTTTAGGAAGTGTAAACATCAAACATGTTTGAAATTTAGTTCATACTATATGGCATTAGTGATAGTTTCGGGAAAGCCTATTATGAAAACTAAATGAGAATAAAATATATATATGTCGCGTTGAATTGTGTTCCCAACTTTCCAGATGAAACTTAATAATTTATTTCTATGCGAAGGTATAATTGGTCTGCAACATTCTGGGCACCATCTTGGTGGATATACACGGTACTAGATGTCATCAGATGGTTAAAATCAAAGGTTTGTAGACTTAAAGTGATGTTGCCCAAAATTAATTAAAGTGTTGTAACCCTGTAGCTACTTAAGCTACAAAAATTAAATAGTAATGTAACAGAGAGGCTTCTATGATGCGGGATATTTTAAAAGCAAAACACATCACTCTATTTCTACCCACATTCTCATAACTGAATTATTTGGAACTGTTGAACTTCGTACCGATCCCGTTAAAAATTTGGACCCTGATATGTGTCACTTAAAAAAATACTGAAATCGGTCTTTATCGTTCTTCCATACTACAAGTGAATTTTTTCGACCTTATGGTGTACTTTATACTTAAGAATATGGGAGATCACACCCTTGGCATATGGTCAACTCTTAGTGGAAGGAAAGTAAACGAGCTATAAGTAAATTCTCAAAAACCAATTCTTGTTTCCGAAGTCTCATTTTTATTATAAAATTACGAATTATCTCGGTATACTTCAAATATTTAAGATAGGGATTTGGTCACTTTGATAAATATCTTAAGCTGCTTTCTATACCGTAACGCAGCTATTTATAATAGATATTGGTTCTATAACTGTATTCGTGCGGTTTTTTTTCAAAACTTGAACTTTTAATAAAACAAAAAACAGGACAAAACGTTAACTTCCGCTACACAGATGAAATG